CCTAAAGCATTCTTTTGCCCATTTTCTCATCTTTTTTCTTCATAAACACTTTCATCAAAATAAAAATATCTGCCTAAAATCTTTCCATACACCCAATACTCTTCCTATTAACTATTATCGGCATTAAAAAGTTTCCCTTAACCTAATTAAAACTTATTAAGTCATTATCCGTTTTAATAAGTACCATTTTTATATTGTATTTCCTGGTTAAAATCATCCTTTCACATTTCAGCTAAACTAGAAAATTATATTTATATTAAATATACAATTCCAATTATTAAAGAATTATAATTAATTGTATAAATTGTTTATAAATATAAATATGCAATCAAAGGCAAAATATGATGAATTCGAAATTCTATAATGTTTTGGATGCCCAGAGGTACAAAAATCATAAATAAGAATAGTATAAAGTTAAAATTGGAAAAAATGAACAAGGCCAACACGTTTTACTCAATTTTTTTGATATTTCTTTTAGAGATTAACTTTAAGAGTTATAAAATATTAGAAATTTGGAGCATCCATCTATTCTTAAAATTCTACAAATAAGAAACTAAGGAAATTATACAGTATTATTTTAAAAAGATAAAAGAAAAAAAATAAAAGAACATTAATTAGATCATGTGTTATATATGAATATCCAAAAGGAGGAGAATTATATGAATACTTATTTTAGACTGGAAACTTTAATGAAACTTAAGCTCGATGTTATTTTAAATAAATTGTTGAGGATATTCTTAATTTATTATTTAAAGGGTTAATATAAGTTCATAAGTTCGGATTATTTTATGTAATAAAGCTAGAATATTTATGCTTTAGTTACTAATTTTATATCTATCTTGAACTAAATTTTTCTTCTTTAATACCAAATTGTACATCATTAAGATTTATTTTACTATATTTTTTATTTTTTAATTAATTAATTAATTTTTAATGCAAAACCGCGAAGAGATAGTAGTTTAATCACTAATTAAATCTGAAATCCCTCATAATTAAGATGAAGAACTAGGGTTTGTTTCACAAAACATAAAAATCCCAAATGCTTATGACAAGGGAAAATTTCTAGCAAAATATCGAGTTAAATTGAATATAATAGGAGGAGTTTTTTTTGTCATTGCAAGTTTACTTTATTTAAATTTATTTGATATATGTCCATATAAAACAGATAGCTAATGCGCTCAAGAATGGTTGATACCTCTAGTACCTAAGTTAATGATATTAGGAATAAGTTCATCATGCCTTTTTGTTTTAATTTTGTTCATGGCATTAAAAAATTACATTAGTAAATTTTATATAGGATTGTTTGTCTTATTTCTAATTAAGGTGATTTTTATTGAAGATCATATAATGAATACAACAAACTATCAAATAATTTATCAATTTTTTGAGATTTTTTTTATTGTGATCTTCTCTTTAATCGCATTCATATTTAGTAGCTTTTATAAATGCTACAAAAGATGGGGTATAGTATGTATTATAACTGTAATCATTATTATGTTTGGAATAGTAATTTATACTGGAGTAAAAATGAGTAATACATGTGTTGATTGGAAAAAAGGATTAAATGGATAGTAAATCGATTAATCTGGAAAATATTGTTTGGTTGTTGAGCCATCAGTATGTTGGTATGATATTTTTGATGGAGATATGGATGCATCAAAATTGTATGATTGCACACTTGATTCAAAGGAGATAAATCCTCAATGGATTAAATAAATTAGCAATTATTTATCTTTTTCAAACGATACTAAATATATTGAAATGCCAAGAACAGAGTATTTTGAAGATGAATACCGATTCTATAATTACTCAACATTTTAGAGTCATGTTTTGAAATAAATGAAATTTTTGAAAGATTTGAGTGAGTTAAGTGATTAGGCAGAATCATATTTAGATTTACAATAGATGAAATATGTTACAAAAATAAAAAGGAATAAAACTTTGATAGAATCAAAATAAAAAAATTATTCGGGTATTGAAAGTAAAATAAAAGGGCGTAAACTCCCTAAAAATATAATAACAATATTCATAGATGCTGTTTCAAGAGCAAGATATATTCAAAAGCTTAAGAAATCATCTAAATGGTTTGATTAATAAGCTTAAAATTATAAGGATACTCACCAAATGTTTTAAGCTTTCAGATATATGTCTGTAGGAATCAATACTTCTCCTAATTTTTATGGTTATGAATATGGTATAGCTTATGAATTAGGAAACTTATCTAAAAATTCGCGTTGGAATACTACTGATGGTTATGAAAACATCGAATTAAACTCAGATGGCACACCAATATTTAAAGCTGAAAATTTAGAAAAATATAAGAGTATAACTAAAACTCTATCAGATGCTGGATATATCATAGCTAAATCAAGAACAATATGTGGAACTGCAATTACTGAGCATGATCCACAAGATGCTACTGTAGTCTAAACTTAACCAATTGATCATGAGTTTGTAAGTGCAATATGTGATCCTAATTATATTCCTCCAAATAATCCTTTTGGTATTTTATAAGGACCTTATAGTATTTTTAAAAAATGTCTCTATGGATAAGAAGTCAATCAATATGTTTTTAATTATGGAAAAGATTTCTTATAAACTTATCATGACGTTCCCAAGTATCTAGAGATGTACTTTTTGGATGGTCATGAAGGAACTGGCGATGCGATAAATCATTTTGATGATCCATTATACAATTTTCTGAATTGGTTAGTTGACAATAACCATCATAAGGATTCTTATATAATGATGGTTTCTGATCATGGTTTACATATGTAGGGTTTATATTATTTGATGAGAACTAAAATATATGACATTGAGGTGGCTCTGCCAGGTCTTTTGATTTTGCTTGACAAAAATTTAATTGATGAAAAAGAAAGAAAAGCGTAATTAATAATTTATAATTTTAGTTTAGAAGAAAACTAACAAAAAGTGGTTACTTTATTTGAAATTCACTACACCTTGTAATTCTTTACTTCAGAAGCCCAAAACGTTATTGATAATAGTCTTTTTTCATCAAAAATACTTGAAAATAGAGGATGTCGAGACATACCAACACAACATGATTAATTTTGCGCTTGTATCAAATAGAAATGATTAAAATTAATTTAAATCATATTAATTGAGCTCATCAAATATTTATGTCAATTTACAAATTAATTTGAATCTCGCTAGGTAGATAATTTTATAAAATTCATTTTTGGTTCATAGAAAGGATTATGGGAAAACAACCAACAACATGGCTAAGGGTTAGATCGAGAAATAGTTCATAGTTTTAATATTTAAATAATAATGTTTTAGTAAACTTTTTAATTTAAATAATCTTGTATTATTATCTATATTTCAAAATTAAAGTTGTTTTTTTAAGTGCTAAACTTGTTCATCAATATCTGTTTAAAAATGCTTTAAAGATTTTTCAATATAATCATTTTCTGCTATAATTCTGCTATATTGAATTTAAAATTTATCATTTTACTCTTTCAAAATATTTATTTACTCTATTTTGTCTGTATAATTACAGTTTAAACTTGCAATAATGCAGTGTCTTAATCTTATGACTTCTTTGCTGAATCTGCTTAGGATTTGTATAGTTCTATCAAAGGAATTCCTAAAATGCAAGCATAAACAAATATGTCTGCAAATTTATCAGAACCTACATTTATTAAAGTCTAACCTTTAGTTAATGCTACTTCATCACTCAATGGCTTAAAAAATATTTCTTAACTTTTCATTCCAATTGATTTTCGATTTAAATATTTTTCTAGATTATGGTATTAATTTCCAAATAATACAAAAGCAGCTTTTATAAATGAAGGCTTTCTAGATCTGTGTTTATTTAATGCATATCGCTTAATCTAATTCGACAAAGGTTTTGAAAATGTACGAATTACCAAAGATGCTAATTTTTAAAAAGGAATCATATAATAAAAATAATAAATTATTATTCATTAATAAATTTTAATTAGACTATTGGATATATATTTTCTACAAATTTGTTAAGTTAGTTTACCAAAACCATTTCATTTATTATTANTATTTTCGAGTATTTTTGATGAAAAAAGACTATTATCAATTTGGGCTTCTGAAGTAAAGAATTACAAGGTGTAGTGAATTTCAAATGAAGTAACCACTTTTTGTTAGTTTTCTTCTAAACTAAAATTATAAATTATTGATTACGCTTTTCTTTCTTTTTCATCAATTAAATTTTTGTCAAGCAAAATCAAAAGACCTGGCAGAGCCACCTCAATGTCATATATTTTAGATCTCATCAAATAATATAAACCCTACATATGTAAACCATGATCAGATACCATCATTATATAATAGTCCTTATGATGGTTATTGTCAACTAACCAATTCAGAAAATTGTATAATGGATCATCAAAATAATTTATCACATCACCAGTTCCTTCATGACCATCCAAAAAGTACATCTCTAGATACTTGGGTACGTCATGATAAGTTTATAAGAAATCTTTTCCATAATTAAAAACATATTGATTGACTTCTTATCCATCGAGACATTTTTTAAAAATACTATAAGGTCCTTATAAAATACCAAAAGGATTATTTGGAGGAAGATAATTAGGATCACATATTGCACTTACAAACTCATGATCAATTGGTTAAGTTTAGACTACAGTAGCATCTTGTGGATCATGCTCAGTAATTGCAGTTCCACATATTGTTCTTGATTTAGCTATGATATATCCAGCGTCTGATAGAGTTTTAGTTATACTCTTATATTTTTCTAAATTTTCAGCTTTAAATATTGGTGTGCCATCTGAGTTTAATTCGATGTTTTCATCACCATCAGTAGTATTCCAACGCGAATTTTTAGATAGTTTTCCTAATTCATAAGCTATACCATATTCAAACCATAAAAATTAGGAGAAGTATTGATTCCTACAGACATATATCTGAAAGCTTAAAACATTTGGTGAGTATCCTTATAATTTTAAGCTTATTAATCAAACCATTTAGATGATTTCTTAAGCTTTTGAATATATCTTGCTCTTGAAACAGCATCTATGAATATTGTTATTATATTTTTGGGGAGTTTACGCCCTTTTATTTTACTTTCAATACCCGAATAATTTTTTTATTTTGATTCTATCAAAGTTTTATTCCTTTTTATTTTTGTAACATATTTCATCTACTAATGGTATCAACCATTTTTAAGCACAATAGCTAAATGAATAATATGGACATATATCAAATAAATTTAAATAAAGTAAACTTGCAATGACAAAAAAAACTCCTCCTATGATATTCAATTTAACTCGATATTTTGCTAGAAATTTTCCCTTGTCATAAGCATTTCGGATTTTTATGTTTTGTGAAACAAACCCTAGTTCTTCATCTTAATTATGAGGGATTTCAGATTTAATTAGTGATTAAACTACTATCTCTTCGCGGTTTGCATTAAAAATTAATTAATTAATTAAAAAATAAAAAATATAGTAAAATAAATCTTAATGATGTACAATTTGGTATTAAAGAAGAAAAATTTAGTTCAAGATAGATATAAAATTAGTAACTAAAGCATAAATTCTTGCTTTATTAGTAATTATTGTTTACTTTAGCCCATCATTAAGTTTCATAAACTAATTATTTTAAAAGTCAATTACCATATTTTTGTTTTCTTATCAAATCCGGCCCACACCAATTTTCATTTTTTTTGCTTCTCTTAAAAAAATGGTTTTTGTAGTTAATTCTCCGTGAAATAATATTAACTTATTAACTTGTATTAATCCTTTAGTAATAAACTTAGAATACCCTCAACAATTTATTTAAAATAAAAGCTAGCTTAATTTTCATTAAAGTTTACCAAAACCATTTCATTTATTATTTAACCATTCTATTTCTTAGAAACTTTTATTTTTTTATTTTTTAATTCCCTTCCTTAATCTTTTGATGATTTCTCATATCCTAATATAAAAACTTCTATTTTTCTAACAAATTTACCTAAAGCATTCTTTTGCCCATTTTCTCATCTTTTTTCTTCATAAACACTTTCATCAAAATAAAAATATCTGCCTAAAATCTTTCCATACACCCAATACTCTTCCTATTAACTATTATCGGCATTAAAAAGTTTCCCTTAACCTAATTAAAACTTATTAAGTCATTATCCGTTTTAATAAGTACCATTTTTATATTGTATTTCCTGGTTAAAATCATCCTTTCACATTTCAGCTAAACTAGAAAATTATATTTATATTAAATATACAATTCCAATTATTAAAGAATTATAATTAATTGTATAAATTGTTTATAAATATAAATATGCAATCAAAGGCAAAATATGATGAATTCGAAATTCTATAATGTTTTGGATGCCCAGAGGTACAAAAATCATAAATAAGAATAGTATAAAGTTAAAATTGGAAAAAATGAACAAGGCCAACACGTTTTACTCAATTTTTTTGATATTTCTTTTAGAGATTAACTTTAAGAGTTATAAAATATTAGAAATTTGGAGCATCCATCTATTCTTAAAATTCTACAAATAAGAAACTAAGGAAATTATACAGTATTATTTTAAAAAGATAAAAGAAAAAAAATAAAAGAACATTAATTAGATCATGTGTTATATATGAATATCCAAAAGGAGGAGAATTATATGAATACTTATTTTAGACTGGAAACTTTAATGAAACTTAAGCTCGATGTTATTTTAAATAAATTGTTGAGGGTATTCTTAATTTATTATTTAAAGGGTTAATATAAGTTCATAAGTTCGGATTATTT